GGGGCGCGGGCGGGGGGGCGGGGGGGGGGGGGGGGGGGGGGGGGGGGGGGGGGGGGGGGGGGGGGGGGGAGGGGGGGGGGGGGGGGGGGGGGGGGCGGGGGGGGGGGCCTGGGGGGAAGGGAAGGGGGAGGGGAAGGAGGGAGCTGGGGGTCCTGCGGGGAAGGGAAGGGGGAGGGGAAGGAGGGAGCTGGGGGGGCAGCCTGCGGGGAAGGGAAGGGGGAGGGGAAGGAGGGAGCTGGGGGGGGCGGGGCAGCCTGGAGCCGCTGCCCTGCCCCAGGGGCCACGGCCTCCCAGCTCGACTGGTTGTGGCCGCGTGGGCCATGGGTTTTTGGGAGAAGGTGGAAACCCACCTCTCCCCACCTGATATCCCAATGTTGGCGATTAAAAAAACAAAACTTGTCACTGTGGGCCGGCTTTAGCCCCAGAGGTGGGTCTGGCCAGCATGGGGTGTAGTCCCTTGGGCTTGGACCTTGGGCGGGTCCGTGCTCTCTCTGGCCTCAGCTTCCTTGTCTGTAAAACGGGGATCTTAGTCGTACCCGCCGGCGGGGTTGGGCAGAAATGGGAGCTTAGGGAGCGGGCAGGGCCCACAGGACCAGCTCAGGGCTCCCCCGGCGCTCGCTGTCTCCCCCGGGGCAGGTACTCAGGCCGCAGGGACGCCGGCTGCCTGTACGAGCTCACGGTGAAGCTGCTGTCAGAGCACGAGGACGTGCTGGCCGAGTTCAGCAGCGGGCAGGTGGCGGTGCCCCCGGACAGCGACGACGCGGGCTGGATCCAGGTGAGCTCGGAGGGGGCGGAGGCTCCGGCCGGCGGGGCGGGGCCTGGGCGCGAGGGGCGGGGCTCACGGAAACCCCGCCCACGGCAGGCGTGGCCGGCGTAGGACACACTTGGCGGAGAGTTGTGGGTGAGGGACCCCGGCGGAGAAATCCAGAGTGGGGGCGGGCTAGGGGTTGCGCAAGTGCGCTGGGGGAGGCATCAGGGCCCTAACCCGACCCTCCTACCTCCGCCCCCCAGATCTCCCACACCTTCACCGACTATGGGCCCGGTGTCCGCTTTGTCCGCTTCGAGCATGGGGGTCAGGACTCCGTCTACTGGAAGGGCTGGTTCGGGGCCCGAGTGACCAACAGCAGCGTGTGGGTGGAGCCCTGAGTGACCCCTTCTCCACCCTCAGCCGCCTTGGAGGGGCAGAGGCCTGGAGTAGATAAACCTTAGTCCGTAGCATCCTCACTTCCCATCCCCCACCTCCACCCGCACCCCCACACACTCCTCTCCTGCCCCGTACTCCAAGCTCAGCCCCCACACTGGGAAGGAGGCGTTTTGTTGGCGTATTTTTGCATCTGGAAATAAGATGGGTGAGGGTATGGGCCTGGGTTGGGCCCACCGCTGAATCCCCTGCACCTAGTACAGTGCCTGCCACAAAGCAGGCACCTAATAAATATTATTTGTCCGAGGAAGGAATGAATGAACAAACGGATGAATGAACACCGCTCCCTTTGCATCCTTCTCCATCTCTTGAGGGCCCCTGGCCCAGCCTGGAAAAATACTTGGTGACTCTCCAGCTGCTCCGGTTTCCAAAGGCCCTTGGGCCGGTGCAGAGCCAGCCAGGCCCCGGGCTGGCTGGACAAAGGCTGGGATTGTGAGGCCAAGGAGTGGGGAGCTGGGCCTGGCGCCTGACTGACACCCAAGCTGCCCAGAGGCCAGAATAGGGTGTTGTGTGTGTGGGTTGCCCTCCAGGCCTCTCCTGATCCCCCTCCTGTTCCTTTCTGAGGGCAGGATGGTGGGTGGCAGCAGCATCTCACTTAGGATGCGAATTCTCCTGGGCCCAAGGGGTGGATGGGGTTGGGCAGATGGGGGTGGTGGCAGCCAGGGGAGTGGCTTGATGTCCCTCCCTGGCCTGCTGATGGATTGAACAGGAGCATCTTGTTTCTCGTCATTTCCTTCCTTCCTTCCTTCCTTCCTTCCTTCCTTCCTTCCTTCCTTCCTTCCTCCCTTCCTTTCCCTTAAAAATGCTTTATTTATTTTTGAGAGAACACAAGTGGGGCAAGGGGAGAGAGGGAGAGAAAGGACCCAAACCAGGCTCTGCGCTGACAGCAGTGAGCCCAGTGTGGGGCTCAAACTCATGAACCACAAGACCATGACCCAAGCCGAAGTTGGATGCTCAACCGACTGAGCCACCCTGGTCTCCGGTCATTCTCTAAGCTGTGCCCAGGGGCGGGCTCTAGCCTTGTTTTGAGGGGAGAGGGCAAGGGGGTAGTGCCAGGCCCCTTTTTTGGCCTCTCCAGCATCTCTCAAGGCCAGCCCCTCCCCAGGACTCTCAGATTGCCATGCTCAGGGTGACTGAGGGTCTCCCCACAGCCTCTCTCCTCTAGAAAACGGTGACCAATAAAATCTCAGTGCTCCCCACCCCGCCCAGCTTTCCTTTGATTCTGAGCCCTGCTGCCACCTGCTGGTCAGGTGGGATTGCAGGTTTTAAAATTTTTTTTCAGTGTTTATTTTTTGAGAGAGAGAGAGAGAGAGTGTGAGCAGGGGAGGTACAGAGAGAGAGAGGGAGACACAGAATCCAAAGCAGGCTCCAGGCTCCCAGCTGTCAGCACAGAGCCTGAAGCGGGGCTTGAACCCACAAGCTGTGAGATCATGACCTGGGTCGAAGTCAGCTGCTCAACTGACCTAGCCACCCAGGCGCCCCGGATTGCAGGTTTTAAGCTGGGGTCTGCCTGCTCGTTCACTGGTTTGTTCATTCACATTCACTCCCCAATCCTGAAGCCCCAGTCCTCGGGGCAGGCCCTGTGCAGGGCCTTGAGATTCCAGGGGTGAGGAGGACACTTCTTGTCCCAGGAAGAGGGGCACTCGGGGGCCTGGGGGGCCTCCGGTCTACAAGTGGAGGAGTAGTCCCAGCTCTGGGGACTGACAAGGGAGACAGAACCCTGAGAACTGTCCGTCTGAAGGCAGAGGCACAGTCCCTGCCCCATGGGCACCCTCAGTCTTTTCTAGGGGATTTCACAGTCCGGGGTGGGGGGTGGGGGGCCGGGATGACACCATTCACACCTACCTGAGTTGCCAGTGGGGTTGCGATGCCTTGATGAGTTTGATGAGAGCCCTGAAGGAAGAGGGCTGCTCCCCACCCCCAGTGAGCTTCCAGGTTTACATGAAGGTGTAAGAGGCGAGGCGGTGCTCTGGGGTGATGGACTAGGATGGGCATGTGGGGGGGGGATCTCGTGAGGATGAGCTGGGGGTGGACTGGGCCCCTTCTGGGGCTACACAAGGAGGCTGGAGGTGCCTCGAGCCTGAGAGGCAGGCGTTGTGTCCAGGTGCCTGTAAGGACTGGATGTCAGGGCTGGGATGGGGGGCATGGAAGGTGACATTCAGAACAGAGGTCCGTGATGGGTCTGGGGCTCTGGGCTGGAGATCTAGGATTGGCAGTGTATGTGGCCAGCAGCCAAAGCCACTGCTGAGGGCTGGGAACAAATGCGGAGTGAAGCAGGAGAGGGCACAGAGAAGCCTCAGGCTCTAGGGCTGTGGTGGAGGAGACCACAGCAAGGCCACCTATAGCCAACCGTCTGCTCTCAGAGGAGGGAGCCAGGAGCCCAGAGACCAGATTCTCCACCCTGAGGCCCCAGAGATGGGACAGAGGAGACCTGAGGGGCTCAGATAATGGAGTGCTCCAGACCCACTGTCCCTGAGGGACAGTCACGAGAGGGACATTTGGGTACACGGGTGGTATTCAGCAGACAGCAGCTCCCGAGTCATCCAAGAGCTGATGCTTCTGGAGGGGGTGGGCCAGCAAAGCACTTGCGCTGGGCGCTTTGTACTCACTGTGCACAGGGCACATCCCGTCACAACACCTCCATGACCCAGTCGGACATGGGGAAGGGGGAGAGGGCATCCTTACCCCTGTCGTCCATGAGGATACTGAAGAGCGGAGACTTCGCAGATGATACGCCGACTAACTGGAGAAGCACAAGTTTCAGCCGAGGTGCAACGGGTTCAGAGTGTGCCCTTAATCCCTCAGCTTTATTGTCCCTACCTGCCCGCTCCCCTCCAGCCTCCGTTATAGGACCGCACATATCAGCTTCAAGGGAAGGGAAAACCTTCAAGGGAAGGTTCCAAGGGAAAGAGCCTACGCCGTCCAGCAGGGGGCGCCTCAGAGCCCTCTCTGGACAGTGGGGAGTATAGATTCAATGGCACTTGAACATTGGCTAAAGAGAGCGAGACGCATGTTCCTGAAGATCCTTTCTAATCAATCAGTGCTTATTGAGTACCAGCTATCTTCCAGGCAGAGCAAAAACAGACGAGGACTCTGCCCCCTGGAATATACAGTCTAGACAGAAAAGCTTGAAAAAAGCCACTATACAAATGAATAAGGTAATTATTTACATGATAGAGCACTTAACATACATACCAGGTAATACTTTGAGAGCTTTATATATATTGATTCATTAAAATAACTATGGAGTGGAAATATCATTACTTCCATTTTTATAGATGAGAAAACTGAAGCACAGAGAGGTTAAGCCATTGGCCTGAGGCCATACAGCTAATACATGGTAGAACTGGAATTCTACTCAGTCACTTAGGCACTTGACTTCTACGTGAAGTAAACGAGATAGAAAGTGAGGGTAGTCACTTTGGTCAACGTGACCAGGGAGGACTTCTTTGAGGAGGGGACATTTGAAGGATGAGGAGAAATCAGCCATACACATATCTGGGGCAAGAGCATTGTAGGAGCAGTACGTGCAAAGGCCCTGAGGTGGGAATGAACTCATTTACAGATTAGAAAGTCTGGAGCTCAGGGAGCAAGCAGGGAAGTGGTTTGACGTGAGGTGGGCATGGAGGCAGGCAATCCTGAGAGTTTCCTGAGCACGCTGTTGTGTGTTCTGACCTACAAGGTTTAAATGCCTTCTTAAAGCCTTTGCTGTATCCAGTAGGAGCTGAGAATGGGGAGTTAGACGTGAGCAGCTTACAGTCCGGGTGAAGAAACCCCATTTCCCAAGAGTAACAGGATGAACAGGATGCTGATAACCACAACGATGGGGATAACAGGCATCCATCGGGACCTGGTGGGAGCCAGTTCTGCGCTAAGCACACAGGCTCGTTTAATCTGCTCAGTGGCTCCCTCCGGTGGACATAGACACTTCCTTTTTTTTTTTTTTTTAATATTTTTATTTATTTCTAGGAGAGAGAGAGAGACAGCGTGAGCAGGGGAGGGTCAGAGAGAGAGGGAGATACAGACTCTGAAATGGGCTCCAGGCTCTGAGCTGGCAGTCAGCACAGAGCCCGACGCGGGGCTCGAACCCACGAACCGCGAGATCATGACCTAAGCGAAAGTCGGACGCTTAACCGACTAAGCCGCCCAGGCGCCCCATAGATACTTCCTTTTTATATGAAAGAGTTTAGACTCTGAGATGTTGGCTCAGGGACATACAATGAGTAAATAGTTGTGGCTTTCCAGTTTGGAAATCTGGCTCACTACGGCACAGGGTCAAAGATGGGCACGTGCCCAGAGCAGGGGCAGAAGCTAGAGATTTTGAGGCGAGGAAGAGTGGAAGCCCTGGTGACGGAGTGTGGGGACCCAGGCCTTCTAAGCCTATTCTTGATTGCCCCAGGCGGAAGGAGGGGATGCTAAGTGTTTCTGAGCCATTTTAGTTAAGAGGTTGAGGTAGGTAAAATGAATTTTCTTTTCGATTTCTTGGTCTAACTCTCTACTTAGTAATTTTTGCAATAGAAAAAAAAAGTTCTCCTCTCCCTCTCTGATTTATTTTCTTTGTAAACCTGGAGTTTTGTATGTGCGTTAGGTTTACTAGCGGTTGTATGGGGGGGCGGGGCGGGGGGGGCGGGGGAGGAAGGACCAGTTCCTCTGAGCACCACTAGGTGTCAGCATTGTCAAGGGAGTTCCCAGGCTGGGGCTTCTGCCCCGCTCTCTGCAGAGGAAGGGGCGTCAGCAGGCAGGATTTGAATCCACAACCGGATTGGATTTCCCGCCTGGGGTTGAGTCTGGGGGCTGAGGGCCTGCTTGGGGCTGCTCCTACGCCAGATGCTCCTGAGAAACGTATAGGAGGCTAGGTCTCCTGAGGCTTGAGTCCTGTAAGTCTAGGAAGGGCTGGTGGTCTCCGGAAATCCAGCCCCAAATAGGTCTCAGGGCCTAGGACCCCGCCCCCCTCAACCACCACGCGCTGCTCTAGTTCATCCTCAGCCCTGGGCTTTCCTCGTGGCCCCTGGCCTGCAGTGAACACAGAACACCCCAGGCAGACCTGGTCCTGATCTCCTGGTGAGTAATGACTTTGCTATTTTTTCCCCCATAAATTAAACCTAATCTTGTGTTGACTTTGCTGAACAAGGAGAATAATGAAGAAGATTAAGATGAGATGGTATTCATTCTTCTCCAACGAAAGCCAATTAATTGTCAGCGGGATTACCGCCCTGAGCCAGGAGCCAGCACCGATTCTGCAGACATGATGGGCAGGGCTGTGGTGGTGGTGGTGGTGGTGGTGGGGTCTCCTAGGGCTCCAGCGGGGGTCAGCCGGTGATGCCGCAGGGAAAATTTCAGTTAGATGTGAAGGAGAACTGCCTGGATGAGAGAGCGGGCTGAAGCCAAAGAGCGGGGTGTGAAGGTCGTGGAACTACCCTGCCAGGTGAGTTTTTAAGACACGGGGAGAGGCTCCAAGGTGGGGGGACTGGGTCCCTGCACATACAAGGCATTTGCCCCTGAGGCCCCTGACCCCTCACCCATCTCCATCCCAGGCCACCTGACACCCTCCCTGCCTTTCCTCCCTCAGGGTATCGCTCTGTGACCTGTCTCAGCCTAGTCAGCTCCATTCTGGGGTTGACTTGATAAATGAACTTGCATGCAGGGGTCTCCAGCCCCCTCCCCGTCTTGCTTGCCCCCTTTCTTTCCTGTCCCAGGAACGGGGGTTAAGAGCATGGATTTGGAGACAGAAATACTGAGGTTTCACCTGGCTTTGCCGCT